TAGTAGTAGAAGCAGTAGTAGTAGCAATAGCAGTGGCAGTATTAGCAGTAGCAGTAGCAGTAGTCGTGGTGGTGGTGCGTAGTAGTAGTCGTCGTCGCCGTAGTAGCAGCCACTGCAAAAGGGGATGCCTTCTCATCATGCCTATACTTGTCTCATCCATTGCAATTACTGGCCAAACCTGTCGATTAGGAAGATTAGACCTCCGACTGTTTGGTTTCAAGACTGCTGGCATCTGGGGCCCTTGCCCGACGGACCACATGTCCACCTTAGGGCCATAGATCTCGTCTCGCAAGATCAACTCTGGCCTTGGCGCGGCTTCAGCTTGCAGAGCCCAGAACTCCTCAAGCTCTCGATAAAACCAAACCTGAGAGTTGGCTTGTGCAGAATCTTCCGAGGCGTTACTAGGGCTTGCGGTAACATGCTTTGAAAAAACGGTTTTGGAGACAAAACAGATCCTCTTCAAATGCTGACATCGAACCCTTTGATAAGATACGAAACCCTAAGGGTCCATGTACCCAACGAGTATAACCTTTGGCCTTAAAGTAATCCCTATGCAGGTACTTTGGGGCCAAAGTATATACTAGTTGGGTACATGGACCCTTAGGGTCATGTAGTTTGAGGAAAGATGCTTCCGAATCCCGAACCAAGTGATTGGGGAGCATAACACCCGTCAAACCGTGTCTAAAACTACTAACAACCCCAATTCTTAGGGCATATTCGGACCCTGGGCCCTAAACGACAGACCCCAAACCCAACAAGAACCCCTGAACGCAACAAGAACCCTGACCGTCGGGACCTGCAGTGGCTTGAGCGCCGGGCGCCCGATACCAAAGCCGTCGCATCTCCCGCCCGGAGCGATCTCTCTCTTTCGGATCCTCCGGCGTGTAGACCTGTGTTCGGTTCACAAGAGTTCTGTAGGGCTTCTATTTGGGCTCAGTAGCGGTTCTTTACGGAAGGGCTCTATAATTAAGTCTGTAAGGGTTCCGTAAGGGCTCAGTAGCGGTTCTTTACGGAAGGGCTCTATAATTAAGTCTGTAAGGGTTCCGTAAGGGCTCTGTAGCAGTTCTGCACGGGAGGGTTCTACACGGGCTTTGGGGCCGACGGGTTCTTAGAGGCCCAGGGGACTTATTAAGTGGGTTATAAGTAGAGTTATAAGTACCCTAAATGGAGTTACCCCAATTATAACCCTACTTATAACCGACTTACTAAGTCCCCTGGGCCTCCAAGTTGAGGGTCATACAATCTTAAGGTTTCGGGATTAGAGGATACGGGTACAAGGGTGCGTGGTTGTCGCGTGGGTTGATGCTCTCAGAGTGGCAAGCTAGCTGCCACTGCTTGAACCCTAGTAACCCTAGTATCTGGCATTGGTAGCAAAAACTAGGACGACGACGACTACTACCACGACTACTACTACTACTACTACTACTACTACTACTACTGCTACTACTACTACTACTACTGCTGCTACTACTACTACTACTACTACTACTACTACAACTACTACTACTCCTGCCACTACTACTACTACTACTACTACTACTACTACTACTACTTCTACTACTGTGGCCACTGCTGCTCCTTCTCCCGACTGCTGCCGCTGCTGCCGCCACGGCTAGCGCTACGGCCACGGCCACGGC